CCAGCGATGGGAAGCTTGTACCCATCGATGGGTAGGTGACCGTTGACTTCAAACCTGAAGAAAAATTGGCTTACCATCGATGGGTAAGTCCTAAACATCGATGGGAAGCCAATATCCTGCAGATCCCAAATTTATTCAATCCCATAAATCAAGCCAATCACCCCTTTAATGTAGTGGTCCGTTGGAGCCTATTTTGGCACTATAAAAAGGGGTGTTTGGGTCTGCTTTTCTCACCGATTCACTTCACAACATCCATACTTTCATTGCATTCAAATATCATAATTTTCCATAGCTTTCTAGAGCCATTTGTGTGTGAAGGTTAAGTTGTTCTTGAGCGTACTTAGTTTACTCATAATCTACTCTACAAGAGAGTCTCGTTCTTGAGTGTACTTGTGTTCTTAGACACGTTGAGAGAAAGTATTTCTCTCGTTGATTCAAAGGAAGGTCTGTTTCCTTTGAAGGATTCGTTGAGGTTCGTGTGACTCGAACTCTCAAGTTGTAACAGTTTGTTAAGCACCCGCAAGCTTAACGAGATAGCAGTGTAGCTCGAGAGAGTCTCTCGGGAGGCTGAACTAGCCACAAGTTGTGGTGAACCAGGGTAAAATTCGGTGTGCCTTTTACTCTTCTCTTTACTTCTCTTTTAATTTTTAAATTCTTGCGATTTCTCCGATCAAACGCTATTCACCCCCCCTCTAGCGTTGGTCTATTATTCTAACAAAAGCATGTTTATTGCCTTTGCATAATTCTCGACCTTTTTGATGTCCTCGGCATCAAACTCGTCTTCGGGCTTGGGGATCAACTTGTCTCTGACTTTCTTCATCGGCACCTCTTCCCCGTTTTTGATAACCAACCATAATTGGAAGTTCGTGGAACGAATATAGATTCTCATTCGTTCTTTCCAATATGTATAATTGGTTCCATCAAAAACTCCACCGGCACACCAACTAACGGGAAGTGGATAAGGACGTATGTTTAAAGATCTTCTTCTTGGGTACTAGCGAAATGAGTCAAACGGTTAAGTTTGGACGCGAGTTAGGCTCCGATACCAATTGTTAGAATAAGTGACCAACGCTAGAGGGGGGGTGAATAGCGTTTGATCGTAGAAATCGCAGGAATAAAAAATTAAAAACGTGAAAAGTAAAGAGCGTAGAAAACGTAAAGGGAGCACACCAAGATTTATACTGGTTCACCACAACGTGTAGCTAGTCCAGTCTCCCGAGAGACTCTCTCGAGCTACACTACTTCCGTTAAGCTTACGGGTGCTTAACAAACCGTTACAACCTGAGAACTCGAGTCCCACGAGCCTCAACAACACTTGCTCAGAGATACCGCACTCCAAGACTTCAACCCGAAGGAAAATACCTTTCCTTCGTACAACCAAGGGAAACAAGCTCTCCCTTAACGTGTATACAACACTAAGACACTCAAGAACAAGGCTCTCTTTTAGAGTAGATGTTGAGTAAACTATATACGCTCAAGAACAACTCAAACTTCACAAATTGGCTCTAGAAAGCTATGAAAAATGATGTTGTTTGAATGCAATGATAATATGAATATTGTGAAGTGAATTGATGTGTAAAGCAGACCCAAACACCCCTTTTTATAGTGCCAAAATAGGCTCCAACGGACCAATACATTAAAGGGGTGATTGACTTGATTTATGGGATTGAATAAATATGGGATCTGCAGGATATTGGCTTCCCATCGATGTTTAGACTCAACCATCGCTGGTAAGCCAATTTTCCTTCAGTTTTGAAGGCAACGGTCACCTACCCATCGATGGGTAGATGCTTCCCATCGCTGGGTGGGAGGTTGACTTTCAAATAAGGAAAGAATCAACCTTAAATGACTTCCAACGGTCATGCCTTCCCATCGATGGTTTACCCTTACCATCGTTGGGTTCCCATCGATGGGATAGGTTTCCCATCGCTGGGTAAGGTTGTTCTGCCTTGTGTTAATTTTGCACCAAGGCTTTAACAGCGATGGGTAGAGCTTCCCATCGCTGTTTGGCATGGTTCTGGAAGTTGGTTTGGCTAAGGGACCGCTTACCCATCGATGGGAAGATCTTCCCATCGATGGGTGGGTGGTTAGCCAAAAACCTATGGTCTTTGCCTTAACCACGGCCAAGCTAACCGATGCAAAAACCGACCGAAAAATCCAAAGTTCTCCAAAATAAAAACCAAGTGTTTAAAACACTTATTTGATGTATTTGGCTAAGAAATCAAGTGAGTTACTTTAAAAACCACGTCATTTGAGTAAAAACCACGGCTAGCCAAGTTTATGCCGTTTTGAATTATTTTTGTCAAACGACCAAAAGCGAAAGATGGTTTTCAAAGTGTTTTTGTTGGAGAACCGTTTAAACATGCCAAAGAGTGAAAACCAATCATAAAAGGTTGAAAACCACTCGGTTGGTTCGGACGCCAAAAACCAAAGCCGATAACCGAGAGCCGAACGCCGGTTTCTCAAACCCGAATGCTGGATGGCTTGGTTTTTGGTTTGGGCGAACACCAAGTGTTTTTAATGACTTAAACATGTTTGAAAGGCATTTTTATGATGTGATAAAAGATTTTAGCCTAAAGATCCAATGCGTGAGGGTTGGGTCGGTCTTGATGACGATTATGACCGACTCAACAATACTAAAGACTGCGGTCTTCGTTCTTGGTCTCTTTTAGCTCTTGTTCTTTATCTTCGTTCTTCGCCTTGTATATTCAATGTTTGTCTTGATCACGGCGGTTTGGCATTATAAAAACCTGTTACAAAAACAAACACGGCTTTAGTACGAAAACGTGACAAGCCCGTGTTTCAACAGGTGACCGTCGGTACGGCTGTGGGAACGGTCCACCGTCCGTAGCGGCGGTCGACCGTCCCAATGACAGTCCGCAATCCCTTGCTTCGTTTTGGTCCGTTTTGCTAATTTAACACTTAGATTCTTTTTAGATCAATAAAACAACTTTGATGAATATATTCCTAGTGATTCCTAGGCCAATCTTTATAGGTTTTACGTAATGAACGTTTTGGTGGTTAACCTACGAACATGCATAGATTCTACGTAGGTTGCGTACGATATTCCTACGAATATAACGACATAGATTATAATAGAATGTTCTAGAATTAAAGGGGACAACTACTCACCTCTAAATGAAGGGATTGATGGAACGAGATGAACGAATGGTGCTAACGAACGGACGAACGATGACTACGCTTCGCACGAACGGCCTAGCCCTTCTTCTCCTTCAATCTTGCACCCACCGGAGCTTCGCCGGAGGTCTTCCTTGGCTGCTGGACTGGCCGAAAATGAGAGAGAGAAGATGAATGGTGATGGAGCTTGATGATTGAATTAACAAATGGGGGTTAGAAAAATGGTGAAGGGGAAAATGAATGGGAAGGGGAGTTTTAAAATGCAAAAATTGATGGTGAGTGATGAGGGAATTGATGGAGAGTTAAGGGGGATGCATGGGGTGGCGTATGAATTGAAATGGGGAGTTACATATATTAATTTTGCTCTGTTATATAAAATCTGACCTGAACGGTATGCGCTTTTCCCCCGAACGGGTCCGAATTGAGATCCGTTTGCATTTCTAGAATCAGACAGTCAAATCGAATTTAATGATGTGGTCAAATAATTTTTCTAGGAACTTTTTATTTTCCCAAACTCCGCTCCGGAACAGTAATTATTTAATTAAATTAATCAATTCTATTAGACCAGGTTGTAGGGCGTTACAACTTAAGCCTGGAGTTTGATGACTATCTAAAAGAGCACGGGATCCTGTCCCAGCTGACTCCTCCCGGTACGCCCCAATTAAATGGAATGTCTGAAAGGAGAAACCGAACGCTGCTCGATATGGTTCGGAGTATGATGAGTCTGACGACATTACCAGAGTCTATTTGGGGCAAAGCACTGTTAACAGCAGCACATACACTCAATCGCGTACCATCTAAAGCTGTTGAGAGCACACCATACGAACTATGGCGTGGGACGAAACCAAATTTGTCATACTTGAGGATTTGGGGTTGTGATGTTTACGTTAGACGCCTCATGACGTCTGGTAAGCTGGATTTCAAATCTGATAGGTGTAAATTTGTGGGATACCCCAAGGAAACAAAAGGGTATGACTTCTATCATCCGACTGATAACAAAATCTTTGTTGCTCGGAACGGAACCTTCCTTGAGAAGGAAATTCTCTCTGCTATTTCTAGTGGGAGAAAGGTAAACCTCGAAGAAATTCGAGAACCACAAGAAGAGATCTTAATAGCATTGGAACCTGAGCATCAAGATTTAGTTTCTCGACCAGCTCAGGTTTTACCACGTAGGTCAGACCAGATGCGTAATCCTCCGGTTAGATACGGCTTCCTTGTATATGATGAAGGTGACGTCTTGCTGGTAGACCAAGGCGAACCTGAGACCTACCTCAAGGCAATCACGTGACCTGAATCCGAACAATGGCTTAATGCCATGAAATCTGAAATAGAGTCTATGTACACAAACCAAGTTTGGACCTTGGTTGATGCGCCCGAAGGGATAAAACCCATAGGGTGAAAGTGGATTTTCAAAAAGAAAACAGACGTAGACGGGAAGGTTCATACCTTCAAAGCTAGATTGGTAGCAAAAGGTTATAGACAAATCCATGGAATTGACTATGACGAAACCTTTTCTCCAGTTGTGATGCTGAAGTCCATTCGAATAATGCTTGCGATTGCAGCACTCTACGATTACGAAATTTGGCAGATGGACGTCAAGACGGCTTTCCTTAACGGGAACCTCAAAGAGGATGTCTATATGACACAGCCTGACGGTTTTACAATTGCTGATGAAACCATCACTAGTTTTGGTTTCAAGAGGAATTCTGACGAGTCTTGTGTTTACAAGAAGGTCAGTGGGAGTGTGATAGTATTCCTAATCCTACATGTCGATGACATATTGTTAATGGGTAACAATGTTCCCGCTCTTACGTCTGTAAAGACTTGGTTGAGCGAGAACTTCGCCATGAAGGACTTGGGGAATGCTAGTTATGCTCTTGGCATAAGAATCTACCGTGATAGGTCAAGAAAGTTGATAGGTCTATGTCAAAGTACATATATAGATAAGGTCCTTGATCGATTTAGCATGTCTAACTCGAAAAAGGGATCCTTACCTATGTTACCTGGCACGGCTCTTTCCAAGAGCCAGAGTCCTTCTAATCCCGAGCAGAAGGAACTCATGATGAAGGTCCCATATGCTTCTGCAATTGGTTCCATCATGTATGCCATGATATGTACTAGATAGACCTGATGTCTCATTCGCTTTAAGCGTGACCAGCAGATACCAGGGGAATCCAGGTGAAGCACACTGGACGGCGGTCAAGAACATCTTAAAGTATCTTTGGAATACTAAGGATGCATTCCTGGTATATGGAGGTGAGGAAGAGCTGAAAGTGATCGGTTACACTGATGCAAGCTTCCAAACCGATCGAGACGATTACAAGTCACAAGCAGGGTATGTGTTTTGCCTGAATGGCGGAGCTTTTAGCTGGAAGAGTTCTAAACAGGACACAACCGCCGATTCAGCTACAGAGGCTGAGTACATGGCTGCTGCTGAAGCAGCAAAGGAAGGTGTTTGGATAAAGAAGTTCATTTCTGAACTTGGAGTGGTTCCTAGCATTAATGACCCAATCCCGTTGTTTTGCGACAACACTAGGGCCATTGCACAGGCAAAGGAACCACGATCTCACCAAAAGACCAAGCACATTGTACGATGTTATCACATCATACGAGAAATCGTAGACAGAGGTGATGTAGAGATTTGCAAAGTAGGAATAGACGACAACATAGCCGACCCCCTGACCAAGCCCTTGGGAAAGCTAAAGCATGAGGGTCACACTAGGTCAATGGGCATTCGACCGATGCCAGATTGGCCATAGTGCAAGTGGGAGATTGTTGGAGTTGGTGCCCTTATGGCCTGGCCAACTGCTGTTGTAATATCTTAGATATTTTCTATCATGTAAAGGCAGATGCATTAAGTTTACAAACATCTCATGCTAATGTAAACTCTTAATTGCATTCTTAGAATTATATTATAAGATGTTTATCAGAATGAGTCTTTTGATGTTGAGACTGACATCTTGTCACTTAGTATAATTCTGAACGGTCTATAGTCGAAGCATTAACGAGAGTGGGATATCGTTAGTGCGCGTGAGACTAGTGAGAGTTAGATGTTTGACCTAGTCTCTTGGTCAATGACGGAGTGTTCGCATCTCTACTCTCGGGCAGATATTATCGTTAATAATAGGATGCCTTACCTGACCCACCTTAAGGACATTGCCTAGACTTTTAGTCTATGCTCTAAGTGTCCTTAATGTGACTATTGGTATAATGATCCTTAGACTTGAAGTATTACGTTCTTCGAATGGGTGAACCCGCATGCTTTGATTCATTGTCCTAAGCCGTATGAAATAAGGATGGTACACAGGCTTTGTATTGGGCATGCCGCTGCACGTATTCGAAGACGTAGATTACGTACAAAGAATTTGTCACTGCTACTCAAGCAGAATAATGTCTTGTAGGGGCCCACTGATAAGTATGACTGAAGAAATGCATGGCCATGCTGA